AACGCAGCACTAAGATCAAGTAAAACTAGCAATGAGATGCAGCCTTGGTCTGACGCAAGAAGCAAGTCATTTGTAATTTTAACAAGTGCAGTTTCTGTGCTATGGTGGGGCCTGAAACCTGACATTGAAATTCTTCATAGAGATAATTTTTTTTTGCAAGAAGGAGCACAATTGAGCAGACAACTTTTTCTGCTACAGGTAACAACTCTTGCAGTAATTTAATGGGTGCAGGATCTAATAAACATGATGTTGGTTTAGATGCAGTGGTAAGTTTATTTAGCTCTTCCTGTCCTATAGTTGTAAAGCACTGCAGTTTATCTTTTAGTGCGATGAATGAAGCTGAAGTACTAGACGCTGTTGAATCTAAATTTGTTATTGTATTTCTGATGTTATCTATTTTATCAGTGAAGAAATTCATAAAGTCATTACTATTAAACTGTGAGGGAATATTTAGATCGGGTGGCGTCTGGTTATTTGTTAATCTAGCCACTGTGCTAAATAAAATCCTTGGATTGTTTTGGTTATTTTCTATGAGTTTGCGGATATGCTCGGCCCTGGCATCTTTTAGAGCCTGTCTATAGCTGGACATACTGTTTTTCCACGCAATTCTAAAAATTCCAAGTTAGTTTTTCTCCATTTACGCTCAAGACTACGAGTTTCTTTCTCCACTTGTTGAAAGGTCTTTATAATCTAAATGCCATATATATACACAACTGTTCAAAAGTTTGGTTTGTTTTTTATAAATGTTTATGAAAGAAGTCTCTTATGCTTACTCTTGTGTTTGAATTTATTTGATCAAAAATACAGTAAAAATAGTAATATTGTAGTACAATATAGTAATAAGTGTTTTAATATATTTTTAAAATGTAATTTATTTCTGTGATGACAAAGATTAATTTTCAGCATCATCACTCCAGTCTTCAGTGTCACATGATCCTTCAGAAATCTTTCTAATATGCTAATATTATTAAGCAAGGACACAATATAGTGTGACAAAAAATGCTTAAGAACTTGAAAACACATGGAAACTAAACTACATTTCAAATATACACTTTCCGTCATATATATTTGTACAATTTGATGCATTTGTGCTTTACACACGGATAAAAGTAAACCACTCCACTCCTATATCTCTGTTTATGATTTGTAGATTGTGATTGTGCAGTTTGGTGGGAAACCTTTCAGCTGTTCCCCCTTAAATGTGGAGCAGTGGCTTTGGTGCCTGTTTGTGGGAATGGGAGAGCTGATCTGGGGACAGGTAAGTGCTGCAATCCACTGCTTTTCCACTCTGGATGCTCTCACTGAAAATCACTGTCAAAAATATCAGCTTTAGTTGTACTTCATTGTATTGTTTTCTCTCTAGGTGATAGCATCAGTGCCAACACATCAGCTGAAGTTTCTGAAAGAAGCGGGCCATGGGCCGGCTCCAGACGAGATCATGGATGAGGATCTAGCTGAGGATGAGGAGGAGATTGACCATGCCGAGAGAGAGCTGAGACGAGGACAGATCCTGTGGTTCAGAGGACTCAACCGAATTCAGACTCAGGTGACGTTCAGTCTTTGTCTGGTTTAACATTGCTTTTGCGTTGTTTCGACAGGGACAACTGTTCCCGCATAGACACATATTGCCTTAAAATATACCAAATGCCTCCTGTGGCACATGCTGTAGTTTGCGCACTTTTTTCGAACTTTTTTCCTCATAACTCAAACATATTTTTCTTTCTTCACCAGCCTTTATAAATTGATGAAATATTAATATTTAACAAGCTTTCTGTGTTGTAAATCTTAACTTCTCTCTCTCCCTCACTTCATCCTTTATTCTCTCTGCTGCTATTTCACGCTGTTTTATTGAGACCTTTTTGCTCTGCTTCTCACGTCTCCATGTAATATGTCGCTCCTTGGTTACTATTATTGGCCTTTTTGAACTTATAAATATTATCATGGTTTGTATACACAATGTTTCTTTGTCACACTTTATTTTAAGGTCCAATTCTCTCTAGTAACACATCATTAACTATGACTTTTGCCTCAATGAACTCTTAATTTGCTGCTTATTAATAGTTTGTAAGGTAGTTTTTAAGTTTAGGTATTGGGTAGGATTAGGGATGTAGAATATGGTCCTGCAGAATATGTGCTTTATAAGCACAAATAAACTGCCAATATATTAATAATAGTCATGATAATAAACAACTAGATAATAGTCAGAATTGGTCCCTATACTAAAGTGTTACCTGTTTCTTCAAGTATAGGCACTTTTGCGCTTACTTTCTGAACCAACAAATGCAATTTTCACCACACCTCAAACTGTTTGATAAGATTTTGTGGTAGAAATGACATTTTAATTCTTTTTGTAAAATTTCAGGTACCAATTTATGTATCCTAAATAGACAAAATTAAATATTTTCCTATTTTATTTACATTATTTTACAAAATTACAGCTTGATTGGAAATGCTAATAAAAAAGTAATATAAAAAATACATTTATTTTCTTCACACATCATGTCTCATATTTCTCATTATTTTAACCATGCTTTTCGCTGACACTATTGTATCCTTTCTTTTTATGTTAGAAACAAAATTATTGGTTGTGATAGAAATAATGTCACTACTGAGGGACAGTCATAATTTGTGTAATCAAAAACATTTAAACATATATTTATTAAAAGTAATATTTATTTAAAAATATTTCAATGATTTGATTATTTCACTTTGTTTTGAAATTAATAATGCTTTTATGATGTATTTTTATATTTTAAGATTGAAAGTTGGGCACTTTGAAGGGTGAAAAAATGAAGTTTATACATAAAAAATATTTTCCAATAGTTTTAATGTTTCATGTAACAACAAGAAAATTGAAATTATTAGACTTAATAAAAATCAATAAAGTGCTCATAGTTGAAGAAACACCCTGGTTGGTTGGCGTGCACATTGGCAAATTATGAAATGCTGCTTTCCTGCAAGCCGTTCCTCCCCAAAACCCCCTCGAGTGATTAAAGCCCCATCCCGTTCATTTCATGAAGCTCATTCGCCTGTCTGTGTGATGTCCTTCTCTCTCTCTCCCTCTCACGTAGTTCTCTCCACTGCCAATGCAACTTGTGCCCCCGGGAGTGAGTCCTTACATTCCGTTAACGGCACCTCGTAGAGCCTGTGCACTCAGATGGCTAGCATACACACCAACACACACACACACACATGTGCATTGTTGCCTGCCTTCAAATGCAACTAGTCTGCTGAATGTTGAGTGTGTGTGTGTGTGTGTGTGTGTGCGAGAGAGAGAGAGCAGATTATCATTGGAGCATCTGTTTAATCTCTACATGTGCTTTTTTAGTTTGCTTTGCTTATTCGTTTTTGGCCTTTTTTCTTTCGTTCTCTCTTTTTCTTTCCTCCTTCCTTGCTACCTCATAACTTATTTCTTGCTCTTGCTGTTTAATTCTGGCTTGGTGCTGCCAAGATGAGGCTGGTTTTCTTTTTCTTGTTGCCTTTTTTTGATTCTCCCGTTGCTTGATTTAGCCAATAATTCACCCTCAAATCAATGTTGCCATAAAGGGCTACCAGAATTTCACTCGAAAGAGCCAATCGACAATTGAAATGAATTGAGAAACTAAAGTGGAGATGTTTGATCCGTTTGACAACATGGGAACAGTGAAAGATTGACTGTTGTAAACCTGCGAGTATAAGCCCATAATGGTTTCTGCTGCCATTTTCATATTAGGTAGCATTGATAATGCTATCATTTTTCTCTCCCGTTCAGGACAAAAAGCATACTTACGGTGTGCCGTGTTTTTTTGCTCTGTCTTTGTGTGCCTTGTTCAGATTTTCCTTTCTCTTTTCACAGGTTTCGTGTTATATAACCTGCCACGTCTAATGAAAATGTCCTGCTAATTGTTGCTGCTTGAGTTTCTGCTATGATTTATTGTCGCTAAACAGCTGTAGTCTTCTTGAAAGTCATTCTCACAGACCGTGATTTGTTTATGAGGGTTTAATGCACCAAATATAACATCAACATTGCCCTCCAGGTACCAGAAGCGATCTTTTCCGTGGTCTAAAGAAAACAGCTGCGTCTTAGCATTTCCAAATCCCTTCAAAGAGACCACCGAGCATTAGCCCAGCTGGAATGCCCCCCAGTTTCATTATCCCTTCCCCTTCAATGTTAATCTTCAGTTCCTTTTATTATGAACCTTTAAAAATAAAATATATTTTGTCCTCCTTTTTTCAGCATAGGTTTAGTGTCTTATCCTGTCCTGTCCTGTCAGTCTTGTGCGGTATATTGTTTTTTCTGTTTTTATTTTTCGCCTTTGTTCTTGTTTCATCGTCTTTAGCATTTTGTGCTGTTATCTTAGATTCAATTCAACAGAGAAAGAAAAGTTCCAGCAAAATCACAACACTCAAGTGTATATTTTTGATCGTTATAGTTTCGCAAAATAATGTAGACATGCCTTGGTGATGTTGCACAAGAGGGCTGCTTCTCAAAAGCTTTTGTTGGGCCATCACGCCACAACAAAAGAACATGATTTGTGCTGTAGGTTTACACCTCCATCCTTCAAAGGTCTGTCTTTCACCTCGCTTCTCTTGCCGTCCGTCATGAGGAGTTCTGATGTGATGTGTTTGGAGCTATTCAAACACAATCCCTTTTCTGTTTTTCCATCCAGTGCCTGAATTACAAAAGACTAGCCGATTCCTCACTGCAGTTAATTCACAATGTATTTTTTTTTCCCCTATTTGATATCATAACCATTACAAATTCTGGGCCTTATACTCGAAAGTTTACAATGTCAGTGCTGCGTAGCAAAGAAAACAGCTTTAAATTGAAAAGCAGGAACCTCAAAACGAATGGCTCTTTGGAAAAACAAATCCGCAGAAGCACTGTTGTGTCCATTTTGTGAAGTCCCGTCCCTCTGTCAGTCACATTGCTTTGTGGTCATTCCCGAATGTGGTTTGGCTATGCATGTAGAATGCAGAGAACGGGAAAAAAACCTTACGTCCGATGAATGTGACTGACCGACATGCATGGTCACACACAAAAATGTTTTTTCAAGAAGATGCATTTTCACCACGGCTGCTGTATAATCAATCACACATGACAAGAACGAGGATGTCAGAAAAAGGAACATGGACCGTTTTGATCAATGATTTTATGGATATTTTTTCCTATTGAATGTGTACTTGCATGCCATGCATGAACGGGAAGAGGAAACTTGAATTATTGTGCATGGCTGCATGGGAGACAAGTCCCATTTAATGTGTTCATACTTTTGAGGGCATAGAGAGTTTGGTTTTTCTTTCCACAAAAAAAAAGGCAATCAAGATCTTCTAAATGGCTTCGTATTAGAATGAGCTAAGATACTTTGCTTTGTTTCATTTATTTATTTATTTTTCATTGATTTATTGAAAGTGGATTTTAAAAGGCCTTACAAATATACCCTATAAATGTAACAAATAGAAAACTGATGATGTCAGAACAATAAATAATGCTTACAGTAACAAATGCAATCTGTTTTTTCAAGACTGTTGAATCTGTATTACAGAATTTGTCAACACCAACAGTATGTGAATACGCATGTCTTTATTTCCTGTATGTTTTTGTGTTTGTGCGTTCTGTGCACAGCCTTGTAGTGTAAACCTAATTTTCTGTGTGTTTTCTGTGTGTACTGTGTACACTGCGTGTATGTGTGTGTTTGTACCACATGGTGGCGTGTGTGCCTTCAAAATCATTGTTTTCTTGGTGTTTACTGTCGTTTGTTTGCATGTGTTTTTTAGAGTGCTCCATGAATTTTAATCACCTGGTATTGAACTGGCAACAGTGAACGTTGTAATTCCGTTTTTGAACTTTGCAGACATACATGCCTTTTATTATTTTCTTTATTTTTTTTTTCTGTTAATTTTTTATGCTCACTAATTTGACATGCCTTTCTGCTCATAAAACATCAGAGGTTAAAAAAGTCAAACTTTTTGATCACGATCCTTTATAAAGCTGAAATTGTATTAAATGAAAGGCAGACAGGGGGCTAAGGCTGCTTTGACAGATCATATTCACAATATTTATGGTATCCTTCCGTTTTATTGGAACTATTTGTGTTTGCCGTCTTGTGTATCATCTTGAGGGTTCCTTTTCCTCTTGTAATTACAACTTGGGTTTCAATGATTGTTTTTGGGCGTCATTCTATAGAGGCCTATAGAATGGCTTTGGAGTTTTGTTTCTTTTCAAAGGCCTACTGCACCAAAGGCCTTAATGGATGTGAAACTTTCAGCTCTCGCAGGTCAGCTAGCTGAAAGTGCTTGAGTAGTGCAAATGGGGGACTAAACTTCTCTCCACCTCTCTGTCCCTTTGATCCCTCCATTTTCTTCCCTTTGACATCTCCTACCCCCGCACCCTTGACGTATAGATCCGGGTGGTGAAAGCTTTCCGTAGCTCCCTCTACGACGGCATCGAGCGGCCCGAGTCGCGGAACTCCATTCATGACTTCCAGGCGCACCCGGAGTTCATCATCACGGACTCGGTCCACAACATCCCCCTGATCGACGAGACGGACGTGGACGACGAATCGGAGCGCTCCAACCATAACCACGTGCGTGTGGCGCTTCGTCACCCCGGCCCTCACTCTCAGCCCCAGGCGCCCCAGAGGCCCCCGCGATCCCGTTACCCGTCTCGCCCGCTGAGGCAGCAGAGTCTGCCGGTCACCCTCAACTGCAACAACAATGCCGCCGAGAGCCGCGTCTACCTGGGCTCGAGCGTTTCCCCCTGCCCCGCGAGCCCTCTGCACAGCCTGGAGACGTGCCTCTGAAGGTCAGAGGTCAGCCGGTTGAGACTGCCAGCCAGACGGAGAAACGCTTGTTTCTGTACCTAATCTTTGTTCCTATCACAGATTCACTGCTTCAAAATGTTTCAGTGGTTCTTTACAGTATCTTGTGTGACCCAAAGACAATCCCACTCCGCATGAAAGTGACCGATTATGTTCTCATACAGTATGTTGCACTCGAAAATGATGAGATGGATCTACGTGTGTGTAGGCGTGGACTCTGACTAAAGATTTTAAAGTCTGTGAGCCTAATGAAAGTGTACAAATGGAAAAAAAAAAGATGTTTATTTGGGGATTACTCCTTTCGCCTTTTAGTTAATAACATTATTGTTCCAATTATTATAGTGGTTATATTTCTGCTAAAACTACGACAATTAATACTACAGTTACTATACTCCAGTTATGATACTTTATATCACTAAGTATGTTTGTATGTATGACGTAAGTCTGTATGTATGTGTATTTGTTTGTTTGCTGTTGTTAAAATCCGTGTCTATGTTCTCATTAGTTCCACACATGCCCCTCTCTCTGTTTTCTGTGTTAGAGTGTGATGTGTATGTCCAATTAAAAAAAGGAAATTAAATTACAGAACATATATCAGCAGCATAAATAAAATAAAATCTAACCATTGGAGGAAAATCTTAGAATATTTGCTGGAAATATAATATTTACTATCTATTATATTTCTATCAATAGAAATCAATTATTTTTTTATGATGCATTTTCATGTCATTGAAGCAGATCAGCAAGATTTCCTGAATAGGAAAAGAAATATTCAGGAAACATTGGACGGGAAATGTAAATAATTTTGCCAACTGTCAGAACAGGCCTCTGTATGCTCAAAATATGGTGTTTTGGGGTATATAGAAAATGTTCAGACACACAAGCAAAGATTTTTGATCAGATCATGTGAAACCCTTTAACTTTCATTCATCTTTTCAACTTGTATCCAAAGTAATTAAACATCTGCATGATTTATCATAAATTTATGCATCACACTGCATTATTCCATGGGTCATAGAACAGTGCACATACTCTGGCCAGAGACTGATTCATTGCTGTCATGCTTGAAGGTAAACTCATCACCTCTGTATAAAAACAATTGTAAGATTGGAATATGTCAACGATTACAATCAAGTTAAATATAGACTACAATAACTAAACGAGATGCAATTTACAAAGAACACGTATGAATAGTCAAATGGAAGAAAACACAAGGTGCCACATTGAGTTAATAACTCCCATTGTAATAGCCAACATGATAAATTACAGAGAGGAAAGTTTGTATAATAATTGCGTATTATATGTAATAACGATAACGTAATCATCTAAATTATTTTTCTTGTATTGCTTATTTTTCTTATATTATTTGTTTTACATTTCGGTTTTTATGTTGTTTTTCCCCCAGATGATGAACGATGAAAACATTGACAGCCAACCAGAATCCACCTGACTTTAAAGAGCAGGAACATTTAACATCAGCTGACAGCAGAGCGTGCTTATGATAAATCAGTCTTTTGATAAACACAGCGTGGACTGGTGTGGACATTAATGTAGTTAATAACAGTTATCAACAATAACCAGTTAATAAATTGTTAAATTGCATAATAATGAACTATTCACTAAAAATTCACCAACTGTTTGATTTTTTGTCCGCTGTCTACTTCGAATTACATTAGGCTTAGATTACTTTTATTTTGACAACAAACTCCGGAAGTTAGTTTTCTCCGGAAGTCCTCACTGAGTGCAAAGAGTTGAACCTGGCTGCATAAGTTCAAAAGAAACTGGTTTATTTTTGTGGAAAACCTCCGCGTGAATTAAAATTGTGGTCTTTGGTGTGAAGACATTAATGTACCGCTTATACTTCGAGCCAAGTGACCTGTTTTAGGTACATGACAACATTTGTTTTTAGTTTGGTTTGGTATTTATTTCCTGTAACGTTATACGTTTGTCAGCTCGTTGATCGTTCTTAACGATAAATCCAGGAAGTTCAACCTGGTAACAATAATTTCAGACAAAATACCATACATTAATACAGCGTTGCCTTTAAAAATCATCTCTATCATTTTGTTTGTTTACATAATAGTAGTAGCGTTACGTTAGCAACAAACTGAAATAACTAGGATGTTGGCTAGTTAAGTTACCATTTTAACTTTTCTATTAAAAGCACTTGTATTTAACTTCTGTATTTTATATGCTAAGATGTTGAGTTTAAGTTTGCCACCTCCACATGTTAAGTGTTTAGTGGAAACGAAAATACACAAATGAAAAGTAAATACTCATACATAAAACAACAGATTGCAACAATATGAAGGCTTTATTCAACCAATCCTACAGGTTCAAACTCTTCTGAGTGTCTTGCATGGAGAACATTGTGGTTTACATTCCCAAGGAAGCATGTGTCAAAAACATGCCTCTGCAGTCTCTGTCCAGCTCCACAGCCAGGAAGATCAGTGTTGCTCTGTTTCCGCATGGATCAGAGAAACAGATGCCCCAGACAGTGACGTGGATCTGTCCGGTTGAGCTGCGGGAAAAAGAAGTGGCTGTGGGCAAGGACCGCAGAGAACCGGTCCCACTGAGCCAGAGGCCACTGCTCTCCAAAATAGCTCCAGGCCAATTTTCACTGCCTGTTGTGAGTTCCAGCATCACTGCCTTTAAGGTCTTAAGAAAAATTTTAAAAGCACATAAGCCTAAAATACAATTTTCAGGGCTGGAAAATGATGCTGCCTCTCTGCCCAGCATCAGGGGATCTGTTCGGCAAAATGCTATTATTGTGTATAATGGCCAGATCTTCCTCTCAGTGAGGAAGTCACATTGCAGGCGAGTGAGATTACAAAACTCTCCCTCAGCACCTTCAGGTGTGTGTCCTGTTTCTCCTAGTAAACAGAACCAAATAAATACACCTAGATGTCAGGCGCAACCGCTTCTGGACACTTCACCCAGACCACAACAGAGCAAGGTAGGACATTTCCCTCTTTTATTATAGTTTTCAGTCTGCTGAAAAAGGTATAAATGCCAGTAGGTGTAAATGTGATTTGATTCTCATTTGGGATTTAAATTGCACTTAATATTTAGTAATATTATTGATTTAAAGAGAGAGTTCACCCAAAATTGCAATTATTTATCATCATTTACTCACCCTAATAGAGTTGAATCTGTGTGATTTTTTTTTTCCCTCTGTTGAACACAAAAGTCAATATTTTGAAGAATGTTGGTAACCAAACAGTTGACGGTAGCCATTGACTTCCATAGTATTTTCTATATAAGTCAGTAGCTACTTGCAACTGTTTGGTTACCAACATTCTTCAAAATATAGACTTTTGTGTTTGACAGAAGAGAGAAACTTATACAGGCTTGGAAGAACTTGAGGGTGAGTAAATGATGACAGAATATTTATTTTTGGGTGAACTGTCCTTTTAGCTGCACTGACAGTGTAAGATGAGAACAAAATCTGAACTCAAATAAGCTGGATAATAACACTAACTTTGCAACATTGACACTGTTATTAAACTGAATTGAATGAACAAAGACAGCATTGTCTTCTGTAGAGATACTCATAATAACTTCTTTCTCTTATCATCGGTCTTAAGATTTATTATAGTGTCATGTTGCAGAGAATCTTGAAAGCGGGTCTAAATATGATCATGATGACAATTCAAAGCTGTTTACGCCACTACATAAATGATCAGAAAGGGATTATCTGTCAGATAAATTCATGCATAACATCATTTTTAAATCGCTGTAAATGTTCAGAAAAAGAACTATTTTTAGTGATTTACTTGACTTTTTGTGATATATTGTGCATTGTTTGCTCTAGGTTTTGATACAGATTTTTTATTGAATTTCTGATTTTTGCACGTCTCTTTCCAATCCACAGAGACAGGATGTTCAGACTCCAGTCAGAGATCTTGACATTAACATACAGATTTCACCACTTCTGCACAAAGTCTCTGAAGAAATGCCTGAGCAATGCTGTACAGACAAAGAGTGTCAAAAGGTCAAGCTTTAATCCTTTATTTTACTCTGTGTAAAATACGTTTTGAAGATGGACATGATATTTTAATACAATTAAAGATTTTACAATTTCAATGGATGGACATGCATAAAATGTCCTAAGTACTAAAATAGGTGTCACCATTGTCAGTCCTGCCTTTTTTAACTAACCGAGAAACTTAGCCAATCAGAAAGGTTTTTTGCCTCTCAATCATTTTATCTGGATTTTGTTAGCATTCCTTGTGTTTGAGCCAATTACCTAAGCCAGACAGAAACAATAGTTTTTTAAAAAGCTGTCTATAATACATGTCTACTTTTGAATGGCTGTGAAGGGAGAAATATACTTTCAGGATAGTGCAGTTATGACATCTACCAGCAGGGACTAACTAGTCCATGCTAACCAGCCAAACCTTGACCACTTGGTCAGGAGGACATAGATTTTTCTGACTGAAATCCTTTACAGTACCTTTAAATCTGTATAAAAACAGTGATTAAGTAATTAGTGCTGTTTCAAAACCTTTGTGATCTCATATTTATTCATGAATTTTGCCTTTGAATTCACAGGAAGATGAGTCCAGGTCACTGAGTAGCCCACCCAAACCTCCTGAGGATCTGGAGTCTGGTCAGGAGACGTCTAGTTCTCAGCCCAATCTCCTCCAGCAGCCTCAGATCATACACATGTCTTCTGTCGTCTCAGAACAGCCTGAAGCAGCAGCAGGAGGAGAAAGAGAGACGCATGAGGATGACAATGAGCGTTTAGAGGGCGCATTGCTCCCCAGGGCTGAGAGCTGTCTTGCATTTGATTTTGAACAGTTGGCCCAGGAGGAGAGAATCAACCACCTACGAACTCGGCTGAGGCAGAAGGAAGCCGCGCTCAGCATCTTTAATGCAAAGCCAACGGATCAGATTTAGAGGAGCAGACTGCGCCAAAGATGTCTGTTCAGGAGGTATACAAGTTCCTAGTGCATCATTTTATGTGAACAGCATAAAGGAAGAGTTTACCCAAAAATGAAAATTTGGTCATCATTTACTCACCCTCAAGTTGTTCCAAATCTGTATCAATTTCTTTCTTCTGCTGAACACAAAAGAAGATAATTTTGAAGAATGTGGGTAGTTGCTGGTCCCCGTTGGCCTACATAGTATACGAGCCACTGTGTGGTTACCCACATTCTTCAAAAGATCTTCTTTTGTGTTCATCAGACAAGAAAGACATTCATAAAGGGTTGGGACATCTTGAGGGTGAGTAAATGATGACAAAATTTTCATTTTTTAGGTGAACTATCGCTTTAAGATGAGTAGGTTTGTTAATTCAATTGTTTATAATTTAATAGCACAAACATTGTCATTTAAATAAAATATTTATGCCAAAGCAGAGATTTATGAACATAATGTGTTTGTGCAATAAATACAGTGATTAATTTGTTTGGTTTTGCACAGTTACCACAAAATCTGTTTGGATTTAATTTTTAATTTAATTTTAGCTTCTAGAATTGAAATTATTATACATTAATTCTCAGTTCAAATAAAAGGTTTAATGTCATACTGAGCATTAGTCATTTCATTTCTGCTGTACATCATACCTCAAGTTAACGAAGTGTACCCACACGTTTGACTGTTAACATAACGTTTTGTCTT